AATAGTATTACATAGTTCAAGATACAATAAGTCAGGTGGCCTGGTCTTTGACAGTGTCACATTCTTAATATAGTGTTCAAGTGTTGCCTTAAGGTTTATCACAAAGTTTACATGTTCAGTGTTCGGTATGGGTACAGCCTACTAACTTGCCAGATGTGTTTGTATCTAGCCTAATTCCGTGACGACTACATCACATTGTCTGGTTCTGTCCTTATGCGGCCATACCGGTACCTTTGTCGCAAAATTTGTCATATTTACTAATGCTAAACTGTCAGGTCTCTCTGCATTTTCACTCTTCTAGATCAGAGTTCAGAGTTCTTTCTTACATGCCTCATTGGCCAGTCTATCAGTTCGGTCATGATACCTAATTCCAACATGGGACGGAAGCCACACAAATTCAATACGAAAGTTGTTCTCATTGGCAGTTATCACATTCCTTTTAATATCACATACAACTTAGACATAGAGCCTGACGGACTGTTCATTGATTTCAAAGCACTTTAAGAGTCACAGAATATCACCCCACCTCCATTTTCTTTGGTGGTCTGTGGCTAAGTAGATTCCAGTTAGTTCAGTTTGTGTTGTGCTGGCCCAGTTGTTCAGCCTTTGTTTGTTTGACACTATCATCTCTTTCTTTTATATATTACAATTGCACAGCCTGTTCTACCTGTGTTTGTCTGCACAGAACCATCAGTAAAAGCATGTGTTACGAACCCGAACGAACAACTTCGTGGCTGGAGTTCTTAGAACATGTGAGTGTTGCCTCAACTGTTATCGTGGGATTTCTGCAATTGAAATAGTAACTGTTGTTACGAACCACGCCATCTATTGTCTTGATCTACCTACCCAGCACCACGAGCAACGCCATCTAGGGACGAAACACGAGTATGACTCGTCTTGGTTACCACTCCCGGGTTTCTCCATATCTTGGTTGTTGCGTCATCTCCTCAAAGTCTTCTTTGTCAGCTCCAATTCGAGGAGAGCACTACACTCTGGGAAGTGACCACAGGATCACCTATCCTGGAAACCTACGGCACAGTGACTACTACCGTCTTCTACAATACTCAGCCTCGTCAGCCATCTCAGCTCCCCACTTAAGTATTTGTAATCTTGTATTGCTCCCCGTCCATGCTTTAGAATGTTGTATGTTTTAAATATGTATATATCTGTTAATGTTTAGGTTAAGTATGGTTAAGGGTAAATTATAGAAACTGAATATTTTGTTAAGGAATTTATGGTACTTTATTATACACAACAAAAGTCGCATCCTTTGCCTTTTATAGTCAGATTGTCTTTGTTTTTTGTTGTTGTTGCCTGTTGGGATCTGGGTAGACTTTTAACTATATTCAAAATCCCCAACTCGTAACACATGACATTCACTTGATTTAATACTCTTATGTGTCTGTTAATAGCATCTAGTGTGACACATCTAACCATCGGTGTTTAACATTTGCTTACTACCAACAGCAGTGTAATTAACAGGAAGGGGTGATAGTCAACAATGGTTCAGGAGAAGTCCCTCGTAGGTGGAAGAAGAGAATCGATACTCTATAAGTGGTTCTCAACCTTGTTTACCCCATGCACCCCTTTCACCATATGTCAGAATGTCATTCCCCCCTCCTTTCAAGATGTCTGCCTCAAAAAGGTGCATTCCAAATAATATATATAATACTGAAAATCCTTTATTTTTTCCATATTAGTACATATACATTTACAATTTTACATGGATTATTTTATAGTGGAGTTTTACAAATTAAATGCCAATTGAAAATGTTTATGGATTTATAAAACTTGAATAAAAAGTAAAATAGTTTTTATTTATTTATAATGAATTACTTAACAGACCAAACTGAAGCATAATGCAATAAACATAAAGTTCAATAGAATACCAGCATATTATTTGTAATTGATTTTATTCAGATGAAGATTACAGTCAATGAAACCTGTGATTGTTTTTCTTCGCCAATTCTGGGATACGCGGAGGAGTGCTTGAAACGGACAACGCAGGTCATTTTCTACCTCTAATCTACTACGTTGCTTCGTTTAATTTGCAACAGAGTTGAAAAGCCTGACTCACAAAGATATGTCGACACAAACGGAAGCAATGCACGGATAGCTCTTTCTGCCACTTTTGGGTAGGAATCACACATCAAGGGCCAAAATTCTGTGATTGATTTCTCATCGAACATATCTCTTGCTCCCGAATCAGTTTTCCCCCCCCCTGAAAACCTGAATTCCCCCCCTGGGGGGAATTCCCCCCTGGTTGAGAACCCCTGCTCTATAGAAAGACAGTAAGGGGTGATCAAGGGTTCAGGGGTCATCTGTTTAAAAGATATGACTCCGAAGGACAAATGACTGTAAAAACATGGGTTAACGGGACACTGCAAATGAATGTTTATAAGAAGAGTGCAGTCATGGATGAGTGAGAAGAATGGGAATAGAATTAAGCAGTTATGGGGAAAAGAGTCGGGGAGGGTCGATGTCCTGTCATGAAAAGAATGTTGAAACAGGAGAGACAGTGTGGGAGAAGAGGGGGAAAAGTGAAGGACAGGAAAAACAGGGAGAAGAAGCTGAGGAATGAAAGGATAAAAAGACACGAAGAAGAAAATCAAGAAAACGGGCGGTAATACAGCTAATGAACCTGGTGCAGTTGGAGCTTGCTGGGGAGTTTACTTGACCTGTGTCGACGAAAGATTATCTTCACCGCACTGACTTGTTCTACTGAAGTGAGTCATACTTGATCATATAGTTGATGGACACTGTTGGGCGGAGAGGGACTCGAGAGCCAAGCCTTAGTGTTAATGGACCCCAATCCTTTTGATTACAAGTTCATATATACCTAATTCAAAAGAGTCCCAATTCTTATGGCCCCAATCCCATCTTACTCGAATTATATGGAAGTCCAATCTTAGTAAGTCTTAATCAAGTTAATCCTAAGGTTTAGGTTAGGTTACGTTGAGCTACAGAAGGATTAGCACCTATTTGACCTGCAAACATAACATGAGAGGTTGAGACTTAGTACAAACATTGTCACACCCTGACTTCCTAATACTCTTGTAGGGGTATCGAGATATTAATGTTGTCTAGCACTCAGGATGGAAGGAAACTCTAATGTGGTTTCCTTATATAATATAAGTTATATGATAGACAGTCTGGTGCTGGAGGTGCCGTGTGGTGGGGAGCTGCTCAGTAGAAGACGTTCGGTGAGTAGCGTGTTGAAGGAGGTAGATGTGCAGGAGCTTCGTTAGAGAAGATGTTGCCTGTTGCTGGCCTCCTGATTGAATGAATGCTAACAGCGTGGAGCTTGCTGGAGGAGGTGTTGCTTGTTCAGGAAGATGGGCAGAATGAATCTCAATGGAGAGATTGAGCTTATATACCCAGCAGCAGCCGCCAGTCCTCTATGAATCATGTTGGGAAAACCCAGAAAGTTGCCCGTGACTAGTTTCGTTGCTAAGCAACCGTACCATCTGGCGTCAGCTCTCGCTTGGTTGCTAGGAGACGGCACGTCGGAATGCGGTAGCAGGTGGTGGCTGTGGCTACGGAGTTGTAGGCAGTTGTAGGGGAGACGTCCACTACACTCTTGTGCCAGATATAATGTTGCCCAACACCTTGCTCCCAAATATACATTATGTGGGTCACTTTCTACCCACCCACTCTCCGCCCACCTACTCTCCGCCCAGCCACTTCATCATTCACGGAAGTTAGTCAGATTAACACGCCTTTTTAAATGACATTATATTAGAAGGATCATATAAGAAAGGATAATAATTAATACACAAAGCGGTTAGTACATAAGCGGGTATTGGTGGTTGTGTCTGCTAGCAGTTTTAAGGTACTGCGTCTTGTGGCGGTTGTTCTAAACCAGCGGTTCTTAACCAGGGGGGTGCAAACCCAGAGCAAAAATAAGGAATGGCCTTAACAGGTGTGTGAATATCCCTATTTGGATTTCCGTAGGGGGGGTGGGGGGGTTCTCGTTCGCTACAGATACTTCAAAATGTCGTAAATGATAACTACGTCAATCAAAATGTAAAATTCCACTAAAACTGACTGAATTAAGGTAGTAATAATGTCGGGAAGTGTACGATAATTTGATGAAGAAACGATAATTTTGAGGCTCTAGAACGATAATTCATATTTGAAAATTTTTCAACATTGACTGCCAGTCTGCGACGATTTCAAGTGCCAGTCGCCCGCGACGTCCTTCCGTGACAACTTTCTACCTCTCACACTCACGCATTTCTTTCTTCAATTGAGCTATGAGGGTAGACTTTTATGAACGAAACAATAATGATAATTACTTATATCAATTAAAAAAGAATGCTAATTGTTTCGTTTTAATAACGAGAATGAAATTTGTTTACTCAAAAATGGATTGTAATCACGCATTGTCTACTTTGAGTGACGTCTGTGGCCATGTGGTGGTGGTGTTTATGATCATGGTTTTAGAATTTTGAGATTTAGAATTTTATATGAAGGAAGGTGGGGGGGCCTGGAGATGAGGACCAACTGCTATAAGGGGCGCGACCTAAAAAGTTTTTTTTTTGACGGGAATTAGCCCACCCAGGCACAGGTCACTGACCCACATCGGGGCCTGGGGGCGAAAATATAATAATAATAATAATAATAATAATAATAATAAAATAATAATAAATAATAATATAATATATAATAATAATAATAATAATAAAATAAAAATGAAAAAGAAATAAAAAATGGAACAATAAATGTAAATATATTGAATGCAATAAATGAAGAAAGTCAGATCAGCATGAAACAATTTTCGTGATGCCAATGTATGGCAATAGTAAGAGAAACAATTGATGCAATTGTGTGTAAATGAGGCAGAAAGTCAGATCAGCACCTGGGACTTGGTCACAATTTTCGTGATGCCATATGACAACACATTATGCTTCCAATATCTTCCCAGGCGGTAGTACCTCCCTGTTTGGTAGCTGCCTAATACCTACTACTCTTAGAACTACTGTTCTAAACTCGTACGCTCGCTGTCTACAAACTACGCCCCGACAGAAAACATTACAGTACTCAGTCCTCCTGCATCTTTTACAACACTCAACTCTCCTTCTGTAACGCCTACGTCATGAAGACCTTGATGGTGCTGGTACTACTGTTATTGTCACTGGTGCAGGGTGTCCCGGGGCTCTACTCCTACTGGCAGAAATCAAGTAAGTCTTACATGTACAGTCTCCTTCACTAGTGTGTTTACAGGGGCTAGTCAGATTTTGTGCAGCATCCTTCATCACTGCTTACAATTTCTCTCAATAAGAAGTTTGAACAATTATTATAATGAACAATGTTGGAGATAAAACACAGCCTTCTCTTTCTCACTGTTTCACACTGAACTAACTACTAAGTTCATCATTTACGAACACTGTAGCTTCCTATTGCTAGTAAAGCTTTTTTTTTTTAAGAATTGTGACTGATATAATTCATTCATGCCTATTTTCGACGATATCTGTTTAGTGGATTGTGTTTTACCATTTGAAAAAGGTTTTTAAAGATCAAAATAAGGAAACAATATTTTGGGGACCTCTAAAGCTCTTTCAATCCAAATTATCAAGCCCGACAGTGTTCTCCATCCCCTTTCCTTTCTAAAAACATTTTGTTGTTCAAATAACTTGCTGTCTATTTCACTTTTCACTCTATTTGAAATAGTTCAATAAAAATTTGTAGACATGATTACAAATACAATAATAATTGTTCTAAACTGGTTGCACTCCAAGGCTCCTGACTTTTCAGGTAATAATACAAATATCTGTATTTATTTTCTGAAATCACTAGGAAGGTTTCCTGTGTACTAAATAGAGTTGCAGACTTTAGTCAAACATTTCATCCTATTCCAATCCATTTCTTATAAACTTTGCGGGAAGATAATTAACTCCACAAGCTTCATCAATTTTCCCACATTGTCTCCAACTAATATTTCCGAAACTGGTAGCTTGATCTTTATTTCCCTTACGTTGTTTACATTCACTGTATCATTATCATGGTACAGTGCATTATATATATATATATATATATATATATATATATATATATATATATATATATATATATATATATATATATATATATATATATATATATATATATATATATATATATATATATATATATTATATATATATATATATTATATATATATATATATATATATATATATATATATATATATATATATATATATATATATATATATATATCATATTTTATATCCGTGTATTTCCTATTAAGAAAAAATTCTCTTGCCTCTCCATAGTCCTTTTTAATATATTGTTTAAAATGTAATTTGTGTGCACTCACTCTCAGCCTTGTTCCTCTTTTGAACTACCTGTATGTGTTCCCCCGACTGTTAGTATTTCTTTGACCTAATATCAATGCTGTTTTATTTCTTGTTATTCAAGTCCTTTTAACAATCCTGACAATCTGTATTGGGTTGTAATTTTATATTATGTCTGTCTCTGTTTTCAGATTTTCTAACCAAAATTAGCCTAACCAAAATCATAATTGGAACGTGGTGTGACCCAGAGTCTGCCCCTGGATAGATCTTAATTTGGGTTCAAGTTTCTTAATCTTATTTAGTTCCTGACAATATCTATGTCTAAAGATGTCTAAAGTGTTGTTAGTTTATGTATATGCACACGTACTATCTTGATTTTCTTATGAAAGTCTTTTAATCCCCGTCGGCAAGTTTAACAAAAACTCTGAGGATGTAGCTTTCAAATTACAGTTTAGGGGGTTGATTTAACTGCTAGGTATAGGTCTAGATCACCAATTTCAGTTGAAATAATTAAGCTCGTCTTATACACCAGGTCGACTTATACAGTAGGTCTCAATATACGGTATCTAGGCTATGCAGTCCTACTTCTGGTGGTTCCTTTACTTTCCTTTGTATTAAAATCAACCATTATAATCTGACATTCAGTAAACATCACAGCTTCTTATGTCTTCTTTAAACGTCTGTAAAACTTTTCCTAAATCCTTGTTATTATGAGTTGGTGCATAAGTCTGAGGTACTGGCAGGGCCGTAGGCTCAGCACTGGAACTTAACTAACAGAACTATCTGATACTGCTCAATAACTCTTTCCAAAGCTAGACAACTTCTGGTTTACAAGAATACCAACACTCCTCTTATTCTTTTCATCACCTGGATACAAGGAGCAAACTTCTTTTTTACTAATATATTTGAACCTATCTTACTTCACATTATCCTTCAATGTCCCACTAAAAGCCTGCCATCTTCCTGTAAACATATGTGTACTCTCCACTTTCATAATATAATGTTCTCATATCTCTAGTTCTTAAATTGATTTTATGTCTCTTCATTCTTAAGCTTTTGGTGTTGTTTAATGTCCAAGACTTTGTTTTGTAGAGGTAGTGTTTGCTTGTTCTCAGTTGTCACATGACCTGCACACAAGTCTTGATAAAACATCTGCTGAAAAATTACGAACTTTGAACAAAAAACTGCGGCTCCCGATGAAAATAGTTTGGAAAGTTTCACTCCAATGAAATTATGTATTTTTGGTTAAAATTTGGAGTGGCCAAAGTTAATACAGTTTGAAATGAGGCTTATAGTTTGATTTTACATAGAAGTTCTCAAAATGAAATCCAATAAAATCTTAAAGACGTTTAACTTGTTGCTATAGATGTGTCTTATCCATCACCAACTAACTTCTAACCTCTCAAGTATTCAACAATACATCGGATCCTCTGGTCAAGGATATTCCCTCCATCTTAAACGCTTACCAGCTTAATTTACCAAGTGGTAGTGGTTGTGGTGGTAGTGGTGGTGGTGGTGGTGGAGGCGACATTGGTGGTGGTGAAGGTGGTGGTGGTTGCCTGAGCGATGAATACTGTCGGGGGGCACAGACACACACACACCACAAGCACACACACACACACACACACACACACACACACACACACACACACATGCACACACACACACCACTAGCACACACACACACACACACTCTCCCAAACTAACGTATGCATCACCAGCCTGGTCGTCTTCTCTCAACTCCACCCAACAACGTCAGCTAGAGAAGGTACAGAAAAGGGCCTGCAGAATCATGCTCGGCGCAGAATACTCCGGCTACACCAACGCTCTCTCCACCCTGGAAATGCCATCCCTCAGTGACCTCCACCACCAAGCACTGGAAAGGTTTGGCCGTGGACTACTGCACCACCCTCGCCATCGCCACCTCCTGCCACCTGCAGCCCCCCACCCAACTCGCGCAGTCCGCCACTACAACAAAATTCAGCCCATAAGAGCCCGCACCGATAGATATAAGAACAGCACCATCCCATCTATTGTTAAAATAATAAACAACTCCTCATTTATGTACTGTACAGCCCTGCAAATGTATTTAATGCATATTATATCATTATGTCTAAATCAAATGTAAGTCTGTATATTTTCAGCCACCGGCTGCAACTCTGTTATTAAACCGTTTATTATTATTATTATTTATTATTATTATACACACACACCACTAGCACACACACACCTCTAGCACACACGCACATACACACACACACACACACACACACATACACACACACACCACTAGCGCACACACACACACACACACACACACACATGCACACACCACTAGCACACACACACACACACACACACACACAGACACACACACACACACACACACACACACACCGCACACACACACACACACACACACTAGCACACACACACACCACTAGCACACACACAAACATGCACCACTAGCACGCACACACACACACACACACCACTAGATACACACACACACACACACACCCCAACGTAAGACATCACTGGCCCTTGCCCTTGTTGACTTCAGGAAGGCTTTTGACCTTGTTGATCACTGCACTGTTATCAACAAGACCATTGCACTAGGGCTGGCCACCAACCTGGTCTCATGGCTCCCTGATTTCTTGAGTGGACGTCGTCAAACAGTGAGGTATCAGGGTTCTGTCTCCACATTCCCACACCTCACCTGCTGTGTTCCCCAGCGAACCAAGATGGGACCACTGTGCTTCCTCATCCTGATGAACGACGCTCTCCCGGACACTCCTCACAGGTGGAAGTACGTGGATGACTGCAATGTGGGGGTTACAGTGGAAAACACCGTACCAGACTACTCAGCGCTACAAGGCACCCTGGACAGGCTACAGGCATGGAATACGGAGAACAAGGTCACCATCAACCACACCAAAACCGTAGTCATACACATCAATACCGCCACCACTCCAGTGCAAGCTCCAGCAGTCACAGTGGGTGCCCATCTTCTCCAGTTAGTGCAGTCTGCCAAACTCCTGGGTGTTACTATAGACCACAAACTGGACTGGAAGGCCTATGTAAATAACACAATCAAGGCAGCCTCGTACTGACTCTACATGCTACGACGACTTAGGTCACTTGGAACACCCACGCCAGAGCTGAGGACTATCTGCAACGCCTTTATTCTCCCCAAACTAACTATGCGTCACCAGCCTGGTTGTCTCCTCTCAACTCCACCCAACAACGTCGGCTAGAGAAGGTACAGAAAAGGGCCTGCAGATTCATGCAGACTACTCCGGCTACATCAACGCTCTCTCCACCCTAGAAATGCCATCCCTCAGTGACCTCCACCACCACTAGCAAGGTTTGGCAGTGGACTACTGCACCATCCATGTCATCGCCACCTCCTGCCACCGACAGTCCCCCACCCACCTCGAGCAGTCCGCCACTATAACAAAATTCAGCCCATAAGAGCCCGCACAGATAGATATAAGAATAACACCATCCCATCTAATGTTAAGATAAAAAACAACTCCTGATTTATGTACTGTACAGCCCTGTAAATGTATTCAAAGCATATCATTATGTCTAAATCAAATGTAATTTTGTTTATTTTCAGCCACCGGCTGCAACTCTATTAATAAACCGTTTAATAATAATAATAATAATAATAATAATAATAATAATAATAATAATAATAATAATGATGATGATGATGATGATGATGATGATGATGATGATGTTGTTGTTGTTGTTGTTGTTGTTGTTGTTGTTGTTATTATTAGCACACGCACACCACTAGCGCGCGCGCACACACACACACACACACATTGCAGCCAGGTCAACTGTTAAGTTGGCCCATACCAACTCCCTCCCCTGAACCCTCCTCCCCACCGGAATATCAACAAGTTCTGGCCAGAAGTTACTATTTCATTTAGGAAAGGAATGGAACCAGTGTTAAACAGAGGTGAACAGTGGTGTACAGTGCTTAAGTCAGTGAGAACAACTCAACAGTAACAGTCGTACCCAAGTTAACCTTCACACAGTGAGGTCCCAGGTACCCAGTGATAACGGCCCGTGAGACCCAACAACCAGCGATGTGTTAATCCGTCTACGATAGGAAGGCCTAAGACCAAACCTCACTCATATAACACCATCTGTGAGGGAATTACTACACCACGTCAGGCCCCGCATAACACCATCTGTGAAGGAATTAATACACCACGTGAGGTCCCTCATACCACCATCTGTGAGGGAATTACTACACCACGTGAGGCCCCTCATAACACCATCTGTGAGGGAATTACTACACCACGTGAGGCCCCGCATAACACCATCTGTGAGGGAATTACTACACCACGTGAGGCCCCTCATAACACCATCTGTGAGGGAATTACTACACCACGTGAGGCCCCGCATAACACCATCTGTGAGGGAATTACTACACCACGTGAGGCCCTCATACACCATCTGTGAGGGAATTACTACACCACGTGGTCCCTCAGAGCACCATCTGTGAGGGAGTTACTACACCACGTGAGGCCCCTCATAACATCATCTGTGAGGGAATTACTACACCACGTGAGGCCCCGCATAACGCCATCTGTGAGGGAATTACTACACCACGTGAGGCCCCTCATAACACCATCTGTGAGGGAATTACTACACCACGTGAGGTCCCTCATACCACTATCTGTGAGGGAATTACTACACCAAGTGGTCCCTCATAACACCATCTGAGGGAACTACTACACCACATGAGGTTCCTCCTAACACCATCTGGGAGAGAGTTACTACACTACGTGTTTGCTGTTCAACACCTTCATTAATCTGTATGTTCACTGTATGTTCCTTTACCTTTCTCTAATGAAGGCTTTTGTTAAACCACCAATGTATGTAATAAGTCATTTATGTCCAATGTATATTTTCAGCCTTCGGGCTGCAGAACTTTTTCAATAAACCGTCAATTATTATTATTATCATCATTACACACACATACACACACACACACACACACACACACACACACACACACACACACCACTACACGCACACACATACACACACACACCACTAGCACACACACACACTCACACTGTTGTGTCCATCCGCAAGTTGATCGTGATTCTTAAACAAAGACAAAATATTTATGTGTGCATATGAGATGACACCTGAAGGTACACTGCCATCATCTCTCCTCTATTCTTAGAAGTTTCGAAACAACTGAATTGATGAACACCAATCAATAGTTCTGTCACAAACTTGAGCCTTGCCGATCACGGCCCTCTACACCACGGTTAGACCCCAGTTTACGACACGAAGATCAATCACCCTAACTATACTGTACTGTATATTGAAGATAATAGCATCTACAGGTGATATATATTTTCTTGTCTTGCTAAGGGCATTTTGTAACATTTTGACATAACTTACTTCACATATCCTTTATACTCACTAATAACGTAATTACATTATATCAGGAGTAAACTAATTTTTTATTACAAAAAACAGATGGTGCAACGACCATTACTTGTAATATTACCTTCATTTTGATTATAATTCATTAGCTGCAGTATTTTCTTAAAGAAGATATTTACGTATGAAATCAATACAGACTGTCAACAGATCAGTACTAGTTCACTACACGTTAACGACACGATCAGTTCGACCTTGAGCTCACACTGACACTCGGGGTGCGATCTGGACGACTACCGCCCGAGGTATTTGAGTGATAGAAAGCCTTCCAGATATAGCATTAGTACAGCAAATAGGGTTATAAACTATGTTGATTAATGTAAAAAACCTGGAAAATATAATCACATGAACCCACAAAATCGTGAATTAGACGTGTTTCCTTGTTTCGTAAGTGGTTATCAGCATATACGTGGATCACGCGCACCTACTGTACAGTGATTTATTGGGTTTTGCCCAATAGATACAACCTAACCTAATCTAACAAACGTAACCTAACCTAACCTTACCTATCCTATAGCAAAATTTAGCTTATCGCTATTTTCCAAACAACCACAACGCGTTGTGGTTAGTTTTCGATCTTTTGCGCATGCTCCGCGGACGCGAATGATACATCCCTCTGTAGTACATACATAAAAGTTTGTCATATTCCACCAATAAAAAAATATTTGGAATATATATTTATTTACAGCATTTTCTCCTTCATCAAAGAACACCCACGGGCAGTTGGATCTACAAGGACCAGACTGACGAGCGGGCCCCAGTTGATGAGTGGACCCCTATTGACGAGTAACTGTAGCCCCTATTGATGAGTGGCCCAAATAACGAGCGACCCCATTGACTGAAACACATTAACCACTTCAGTTTAAAACATGAGTTATTCATGTTAAAAGTCGAAAGCGGGTCGTCTCTTGACCCCGACGACCCATCAGTTAGAGGTAGTGTGGCGACAGCATTGAATACACTAAGTCTCTGGCACTCGACCTCCTCCGTTTCCCCATCTGAAAAGTTAGGCACTCATTCACAGCTGTGTTGATCAGTGTTGAGGGTAGTTTAATAAAAGTCTTCAATATCCAGGTCCTGGCCAGCGCTATGTGAAGGAAGGCTCGTTAATGGTGAGTGTGGTGTCTGCCAGCACCACGTGCGGCGTCCGCTGTACAGAGAACGTCCACTGCATATCTTTCAACCACAACGGTGAGTCCCACACACACACACACACAAAACCCACCTCTTGCCCGTATTATAACTTCTGGCTCTTACTCACGTCCATTACCACGAAGAACTAACTGAAACACTTCCAATATTATGAATAACTGTGTAAATAACTTGTATTAGTATGTAGCCTAAGCTCTGACCAACACAATCATACGCTTGTATCGTATGCAGAAGGTCGGACACAACCAATCAATAGTACTAATGTGTGAACTGTAACAGACTGAACTGATTTCATGATTTTCTGGTAGGAGGCATTGTTACACATGTGTTATTTCGTATCTTTAAAAATTTATATGAACATTATGCTGAACATGCTGACAGGTGTCACGCAGGAATGTGAGCTGCTGAACACGGTGCCTTACTTAGCGGGAGACCACCTGTATCTGGCCAATGAAACAGACTGGAGTCACTTCAGTGTCTACGTTCCTGAGAAGGTAATTACCACCAGATGAAATGCAATTGACAAAAACAAACAGATTTTATGGAAATTCCACCAGACAGATCCCATGGGCAAAATCCTACAGGGCAAAAACTAATATAAAGTTCTAATTCCCTGTAAGTTTAGATTACGTTAGATTAGGGTAGTTTAGGATAGATTAGCTCAAGTTAGGTCAGGTTATTACGTCATATTATTTTGTCTAAGTAAAAGTGCATATTTATTTTTCTTTGTCAATCTTCCAATGGACAATCCTAACCAACTCTTACTAGTCTTCTCCTTTATATTTGTTATCATCAATTCTCAAAATATTATTGCATCCATCTCTTCTTCTCAAAGTCTGCAACTTACTACTTCGGGAGTATTACTTCCATAACAAGTATAAATATCTCCATATTGACGAGTGGCCCCATTAATGACCGGCCCCATTGATGCATGGCCCCAATTGACGAGTAACTAACCCCTATTGATGAGTGGCCCCGTTATTTTTCTGTTCATCCTTGCCAACTTTTCTAATACTGTACCCATGACGCTCCTCGCTACGTTAGAGCCAACTATCCGATCCGTACACAACAACTTTGATTCCTCGTTTGGTTATTACGCTCATATTTTTTATGCTATCTCCCGCTTATAGCATGGATTACTTCTGTAAACAAATATCCTGCGCGACCAGCGACGTCATTGAATTGCCTTGCCGCTAAGAGAATGTGTTTTGTATATTATGTTTATGAAAAACTTGGAACAGGAGAGCCCTTCTGTGAGGCTCTACTCCTTCATCCTATAAACCAAGGAGTTTTTTTTTTTTTTGCTTCTCGTTATACGAGAGGTAAAGTAACACTTACACTTGGCAGGTTTTTAACGCCACTGCCCTCTGTCCTGTGGGAAGTGTGTTGCTGTCCTACGAACAGCCCGCCTACTTGAAGCAAGACTACGACCTACCGGCCTACGCTTGTACTAATCACACCTACGTACTTAACCAGGTCGCTCTGGGCCATACTGGTCAGTACCATTATATCTGTACTATTACTTCCGTACACTAATAAATGTTATTATAGGATTAGGTTGGTTGAAGCTGATTACAATGAGACAACAATACTGTACAATAATAGCACTCATACTACAAAAAAAAAATCTTCAAAATACCAAGAGAGCGATTCTCCCCCTGAAGGGTGACTCCTCTCTTCATCTTTCCTGCTGACTTCCTTTCAAGCCATATCACTTCCACTTCTCACCAGAAAAATTCCCCGATGAATACGTCTAACTCCTATCTTAACTGACCCAATGCTTAATGGGCGTCCTTCACCTCTTTAATTTAATTAATGGTCCACTATATCTCTTGGCTAGAATACTTAAGGGGCGTGGGTTTTTTCAGGATCTTTTGAAATCAATATCTTACAACTATTTTTTTTTACGACACATCATTTGGTCCACGCTTGGAGGTGCATGACGAAGTTTTCATGAGAAGATGATTTATCTGCACATGACAGTACTCGAACACAGAACTTGTGGTTTATTTGGGTGTACTGAATGTTTGTCTTATAATCGACCATGATCCTGGTCTTACAAAAGAGAAAAAGTGTGACTACAAATACCGAACTTTCCCTTCATTCTACAGACTGCCGGATGGTCATTAAGTACGATACGAACTTCCTTGGCTACAATCATCCTCACTTTCCTCACAACACAATGGGCTTTGTCGACACCATGGCCCATTGCTACGATTACGGCTGTGTCGGTGTTGTCTGCGTTGTCCGAGGTAACTCTTCTCCTTGATTACCTTAAGCTAAATATTCCTTTATGATTTAATGAGTCGTCGTGTAAATGTGTCTTATAATCAACTCCAAGTGAAGATAGTCTACTAAGTCTTCTATGAGCATTAATCGATTCTTTCTTCCTTGACTATTTCAGCCAACATTTACTCATATTTGTGGTAATCAAACTTTATTGATTGATGATTTTGATCAAAGTCGACAATATTTTTTCCCCAAACCTTATTATTTTGTTTGTGTGCCCCCCACCCAACTACCCCTCCCTCCAAAAAAAAACACTTCCATGGCTGGTTGAGCTCAGCACTAACTCAACACAGAACATTTCTTGTTTTAACTACAAAGGTCATGGTCAAAACAGGTCATTAATGAAGGTCACCCCACCGATCGCTAATAAATGTCTTGGTACAATAACAATAACGTCAAGCTTTGGTAGAATATTAATCAAGATGTGTTGTTTTACCTTATATCTCTCCTCTTCTTTTTTTCAGGCAATTGTTGGATACAGTATGAGTCTTTCCTCACCTCCAACACGGAACCAATTCATGTGGTAGACGTTCTCTACTGGTATGCTGTCTGCCAGTAACATCTCTTTACACATCCGCCACCACACTTACACCACTACCACACTTACACCTACACCACCACACTTACACCAACACCACCACACTTACATCAACACCGCCACACTTACATCAACACCGCCACACTTACATTAAGACCACCACACTTACACCAACACCATCACACTTACACCAACATCACATACTTACATTTAAAGAAAAACAATCCTTTGCTACACTGGAGTCCAACAATGACACTGATGAATACTATCCAGGACTCTCAAACCAAACCAAACCTAATCTAACCGAACCCTAACCTAACCTAACCCTAAAAACCATACCATGAAACAACTTGGCGATGAATGTGAAGCAAGAATACAAGTGCAGACAGACATTAGTCAGTACATTGTATACCATGAAGAGATGTATTGAATTCGTAAAGCATGTATAGGGAGCCAGTAACGAGATGTAGCTGCTAGACTAAGGTTAGGATATAAGTACCTCTGGCAGTATGTCCCTCAAGTAGATGTGAAGTGTGACTGCCAGACATACAGTATGGCCACACATTCCTACATTAAGTCCTAGAGTGTGAAAAACTAGGACCTGTGTAATGTGGATGCAATTGAACTGTACTTTTTCTGTGGTGACAAGATAGCTGATATACTAAAGCTGTATCCACATTTCGCATCTAGTAGCCAATAAGCTTCTATGTATTGAACTAAACAACAATATACTGGAAATACTCTGTAACACTCTGTAACACATTATCCTGATCACTGGGGTCTGATAAACACCCTTTGTGGCCTCCGCTCTGCAAATTTTATTGTTCTACCGTTCACAGGATGAGTGTGGGGTGTACAATAAACCTGTTGTTGTATGCTGTAAAATTTAAATTTAATTCGTGTAGTTTTGACAGAGAGACAGACAGACAGAGATATATAGATAGATAGATAGATATATAGAGACAGACAGCATAGATATTAAAAAATAGTAATACCAATTTATTTTGATTCAATATCTAAACACACAATGCAGGTATTCAAAAAACTGTACAAAGGCAGTGTGGCTGTATAATCAATGGTACTGTATATTATCCATCATCCTTCTATGTATCGTTGCCCAAATAAGGTTCACGACATAGGGCTACGGAGACCAAAACTGTGAGTGGAAATTCGAGAAGACAGGTGTTGAACGTCAGGTAAACGCAATTAACCTGATTATTTGAAAGAGTCGGCTAAAAACGGATTATTTTTCAACATTTTACGTGTTGTAATAATAATAATAATAATAATAATAATAATAATAATAATAATAATAATAATAATAATGTTAATAATAATGATAATAATAATAATAATAATAATAATAATAATAATAATAATAATAATAATAATAATATCAATAACAATAAGAATAATAACAGTAATAATATTAATAGCAAAATAATAATAAAAAAAAATATAATAATAATAATAAAATCCACTATTTAAAAATTTAAGTCAGACACTTCCCATATAATAACTAAATACATACCTACACACAAAGAACACCAAGTAACAAAAATACATTGAAACTACATACGACTTGTGATTAAAAAATGTTTGAAAATATGAAACTTATCAGAAGTTAAAATAAGAAAATGGGAATAACTATTAGATATTTTATTGTTTATTACTGTAAGGATTTTATCATACTGCTTGTTCATTGTTTACACGCTGCGCCAGAACACATTATACTGTACACAGGTTTTCAAGATCGTGTGCATGTTTGTAATATAAGAACAACTTTTTTCCTCACTTGTGGGAAATCTCGCATATCAATAAATGAGAACAATATAATGTTGCTGTTGTAATACAAACCCACGGTACTGTAGGTTGTGTCATGGGCTGTTTCTGCAATCTGTTTACGTTTTGTGTGTGCAGAAAGTGTGAGTATTATTTTAGTCATATTGTTACCGAGTGTATATTAGTCACTGTGGCCAAATTACTGTTCCTCCTATGGCCTCTCACACGAGTGTTTGTCTACTACAATTTGGTGTTTGATGATTGTTATACTTTATTGTACTGCTCACCTTAATTAGTATACAATTTGTAGAACTACGTCCCTGTGTATCCATCTACAACCTTTTTCTTGTTTGTTGTTGTAGTTATTGGGCGTATTACCTTAACTGATACATAATTTGTGGAATAAATCTTATCTCTGAATGACATGTAATTCCATCCATTTAGTTTACAGTCTAAAAATCAGCAGTTCAGTTTCAGGTCTCGGTAAATTTTTACAACATTTAAGTTTATTCACCATAGATCGGAGGTTTTACTTCACAACAGAAAGTAACTCGGGTCCTCTATGTCGAGGATGACATCCACTGAATGGACAGAGGGAAGGAAGCAAGGAAAAAACTAAACAACGAATTTGAATTTACGAAAAGACTGTTGTTGTTGTTAGCCTCCAGTAACTCCCTCACTTTCCTCACTGCTGACGACGACGCTATAATATTTCTTACAGCAGGAGACACGAGGTAACCAAACCTATTGATCACGAGATATGTTTCGTTTGGCTAACTTTACTTCTTCCGTGTTTTCTGTTGTTTGAAATAAGGTAACACCTTAGTTAATAATGTATCCAGTAGTATTTACAGCTTGGAAAAAAAAGGTCAAAATACTGTATACAGAGACTTGTGGGGAGAATGGACAGTGTCTTGCTCAGGATGACACAAGATCTTTCTCAGGGAGGAGACTTGAGGGATACCAAGCAGCTGTACAGTATACTGGGGAGCGTATGTAGAGCATACCCAACATTGTCATACGAGAGAAAATATTCACTAAAACACATATATGTATATAATGGTTCTTGTTATGTAAATACTGAGATATCAAAGTGACAAAGAGAATGTCACAGCTATGTAAATTACCTCATGGGAGAACGTGAGGAACAACGACTGAACAAAGGACAGAGAAGGATGAAGTGTGGTAGAGACTACAGTATGTACACAGGACAACAATAGAGGGCACCAGCATCACACGTCCACACTGGCTACCCCTCCTCACTATTTCACTTGCTCTTTTATTATCTCTTTCAACTAATCTTTATTCTACCCAACGCGCCTTCATTTTTTAACATTCCTTCTTTTAATATTTCGGTTACGTTTTTATTATCTCTTAATATAGTTTAAGACACTGGAATTTAGTGCCTAGACTGATCGCTTTGTTAAAAAAACGCAGTTACAGCCGAGGCGGAAACTGTTCAGTACGGAGAGACAGCCGAGGCAGCCAGGCAGGATCACAGCATCATTATAGTATTAACGAATGACGCGAAGTTCTCATCCCTTTATTGATTGTTTATGTAATCTGCTTCGTACAGTCAATATACAGTGACCAGATGTTTCAATTACAAGTCCCCTATAGGTAAACTTAGACCCAAAGATGACAATAATCACGACACCCTATCTTGACCCCACCTACGGCTCTTGGCCAAACTGGAGGAAATTGCAATCCCGAACAGAGAATTGTGTCAAGGTGCCAAACTATGTGATTCGTCGAGGACATATACTAATTTATGGAAGCCAAGAAAAAGAAAGAATTAAGGGGAAAAATTGTACCATAAAAACGCCACAGTGATCCAATACAAAACAAGGATGAATACCTCTGCCATCTACGAGTATTTCCTGCAGCTGGCGCTACTCTTAGCCAGTGACGTTATAAAAAAACATTGCGAAAAGCACCTTCGCCAGCATTCTAGTGTCCCTGGCGATGCTTCTATGTGCTAACGCACCTTCACCTGTGTCTCCTGCCCCTGGAGATATTTTTACAATACCGGCCATACAGATCATTATAGGAGATAAGAAATCACTGGAACTCAACCGCCGCGGCAGAATTTGACATTGTTCCTCTCACTGGGTACTCGCACCCCCCCCCCAGTACATACAAAAGGAGATTATGATTCTGCTTTTCAGGATAAAACCCGTTACTCCTCTGTCTGTCAACAATATAATAAAGGTTTATGATTCTGTGTGTTCGTTTGCATGTATGTATGTATATGGGAAGTAGTATGTACAGGTGGATGAGTAGCTTTATAGATGTGTGCGTATTGGGCACATGAGTATGTGTGAATGCAAGTTTCAGCACCATTAACTCCCAGCAGCTCACAACAGGTGGTTGGCGTGGGGTGCAGCGAGACGAGGGGAGAGGGAAAGGGGGATTACATGGAGGTGTGGTTCAGAGAAGCGTGGTGAGTGGGTTCATATGGGCGTGGGAGATGTGAGGACAAGATGGACTGGTGGTAGATCAGGCGGACTCTGGGCGGTGGTAGAAACGGTACCGTTCTTGCCTCGCAAGAGAGATGTCACGGGTTCGATTCCCGGGCCGGTGGAAGTTGTTTAGACATACTTCCTGGCCCTCATTAGCCCCTGTTCACCTAGCAGTAAAGTAGGTACACTCGGAAACCATAATCTCTAGCCCACCTGGGTTGGTGCTGGAGGATAGTACAGTGTCCTTTCTGGACGGGGGCCCACTCTAACTATCACGAGGCAACACACACGCAAACACACACAGTCATAATACTGCTGTATAGATGATATTAAGTATAAGTATTGTATATGGCATTTTATACTCTGCATTATCTTAGTTATATATGAACACAAAGAAAAATTACCATAGGTTGCAGTTACGAATTTATGAATGGAAATAAACACTTCCAAACCACCCAGTGAATCCACACAACGTTTACAGCGCTTGTGTGTGTGTGTGTGTGCCAGACCACGATGCTTCCACCACACCCCATCTATAACTTTTATTTCCCATCATTCGCATAACTATATGAAAAATGGTGTATAATTTAACTACATATTTCAAAAACCTTAAATTACATGTGGATCAGTCACTCCTCATTTGACGCACTTATAGTGTAATACTTTGACCATCCCACCTGGGCACATGGAGGCCCACAGTAACTCTCACGGGCAACATATGCACGAACACACAAATTGTGATATGAACCCTTCCAGGCTTCACTATCATTATCATGTTATGTTCATCGTGCTCTGTATCTTGGTAACTAGTCATAGTATCAATACATGACAGTGTTATTAGTATAATATTG